GTGATTTGTATTGTACGGAGTACAGAATACATTATCATCGGTTTTATCAGCGGATGGGTTAACTGCTGGGTCTGAATGCTACTCGTTTCACCTGCAAACGGCCACTACAATATACACCGCCGCCTGGTGCTCTCCGCGGTGGGATTCACTTATGTTTCGTATACCATCTAAATAAACAGGGCCATGACCTGGACGGAAGTTTTTTGCCAGGTAAACTATATGCTGCGGAAAAGCGTTTTAACTAGCCAGTGCTGGGTGATTTGGAAAACAATGCTAACATTCACCTGCCCGTAGAAATTCCAAAATTCCACAAAACTCGGGTTTCTGTTGGATACAATAAACCTCAGCACCTGGCGCCGGATGTCCCAATGATTATAGTAGCAGCTAATAAAACTCTCCATGACTCGTTCGTCCCCGTTTATGTAAAGCCCCAATTCATTCCTTACAAACAGTCAAACAGAAAAAAACCAAAAACAGAACTATATATTTAAAAGAAAGTAGGAAAATGGGATCTCTGGTTAGCTGATCTAGCAAGCCGTTTCCCTAAACCCTCTCTCCCCTTGGCTAAGTTGTATAAAAATAAAAAGCCAATACAAAAGCCGCCGTCCTCAACCAACCTCCATATCACCCCAACCCATATCAAACTCCTGCACCAACATATCCCACTGCGCCCAATCAAGGGGGCCGTCATCCAACCAGTTCTGTACACCGCCATTATTGCCCTGGATTATAAGAACTGACGGGTCGAGATACGTGTCTGTATGACTGTCCTCCATATCTTCGGTTTCAGCTAACCTCCCACTGGTGTTCTGATGGGTATCAGCGATCCTAAATGTATCGGGCGGAGCGGGACTAAATAAGCGACGCTGATGGCTGGGGATTGGAGATTCTTGTGGTCCAATTCCAATCGGCGTCATCTGCGCGTTGTTATTCGCACCCAAAATGCTGTAGGACGACACATCTAGCAGCGTTGCTTTCCTTGATGATTGTTGTTCCACCCCGTTCGTAGCCACAGTTTCCGCCGCCGCCTTCTTGCGAGCAGAGCAAGCCCGTTGTGCGATTAATATCTGTATATATTCCGGCCTTCCACTCTCTACAGTTTCTTGATCATTCATCGCTCCCGCAGGCATATTATCAGCGATCGCCTTCTCCCTCGCTGCCCATGCTTTCAACACCAAGTTCCCAATAGCTACATACAACGCATTCTTAAACTTCGTTAGCAGCTGCGGCCGGTTGGTGAATAGCATCCCCACCTGATGCCAGGCGGCGTCGATATCGGGCCCGACCGTGCGCATGCGCAACTCTGTCAGCATGCAAATGACGGCGTGCCACTGGAAACTAATGTTTGCGTGCCAGAGGTACTGCTTCGTGCTCGCTGTGTTTCTAATCAGATTATCGAACTCGAGCACCTTGACGCTCGTGGCGAAGAGGAGATCACGCATCTTGTCGTCTTGAATCTCGGGCCCCTCGCTATGGCAAGCGCTCCTGCCCTTTACGCGGTAAATGGGCAACCGCACGACGGCGAGGACGCATCGGCCAACCAACAGGGCTGTCTGATGTAAAGGGATGGAAGGGTCGCAGAAACGGAAATATTTCTCCTCCAGCAGCGCTTCGAGGTCGTCTACGAGCTTGCTCCTGTCCCCAATGGACATGTCGCTCCCGCCTATATCGCGCCAATTGCTACCGGGCGAGAATGTAGCTTGATCCTCCCTGAGGAAATTGCCCACTTGGCACTGGAAGAGGCGGAATAGCATCTCGGTCGGCAGTGTGTCTACGGAGGCTTTCATGTCGGCTC